GAACCACCTTCAGAGGGCGAGGAAGACCACTGTCCTTTACTTTACCCAGGCGAAATGCTGCCTTCACCTTGATATTATTGGCTACGTTTTCTTCATCCTTGAATACTTTCTCGAGAATGGATCTCAACAGGAGGAGATCGTGATTGAGTCTCTCCTGTCCAGACCCCGCTGGGGCCTCAGGTAGGTTTAGTGCTAGAAAGCACTGGTTACGCTGAGGGACATTGCGTTTGGCAGCACTCCCGATTTTCGTCCATCCCTCCGAGGTCCCCGATGCGGCAGACGGCAGGGACTCCACAGGCGGTCCTCCTTCCTTATGTGCCTGTGCTGTGGTGTTACTCGTCGGTAGTGAAACTTCGGTCGAGCCCTTCGAGTCCTCGGCAACTATCACAGGAGCATCCTTCCCACTTTTCTTCCGTCCTCTGCGACGCGGTGTAGCCGCTGATTCAGGACAAATCGGGGGTTGATGCATCTGGCAGGGAAGCACTGGCTAGAGAACAGGGATAGTAATCCTCGTCTTATGGGGTTTCCTTCAAGCGGTCAAAGTGGGAAAATGAATTCATCTTACTCCGCCTTCCAGCGCATCCCTGAAGTGGGCTCAATAGGGAGTGATTGGGTGGAAAGGCTAAGCACACTGTTCAATCTGTCTGGCTAAGGAACACTGTCTGAAACCTCACATGTGTTGGACAACCAATTAGTTAGGTAGAAATCTGATAGTGGCATGACAACCTCTATTAGGTATTCTAAAAACGACCAATTTTCAAAGGCTTTTTCAAAAAAATGATGGCTAACTTACCAGAAATTGAAGTCTCCGTCCTTCATTAGATTTTTTAAATGCTCTGTATGCTGAGAAGCCGATTCTGAGTCATGGAACGCGCTTATTAAATCGCAGACGTAGAAGTTACTCTGAACGCTAGATGACAGGAAATTAGTTTACATATTGTAAAGCCATCCGTCTGAGTGCGTAGTTCGTGCAGAAATGCGAGGAGAATGCCCTAAACGGGTGAACTGTAAGCCGATAGTATACTGCAGGGCACTTCACATCATCTTCAGGCCACCATAGTTGTCCAAGGGCGTCGCGATGCTCCTCTGGTATCTTAACATGTGAGAAAATTTCTTGTTATTCGGCTGCCACCACAACTGTCCATAGTCAGAATTGAATAAGCACGTCAATCAAGAGGATGGCCTATTCTGGTCTTTGTAGCAGACAATCGTTGAGACAGACCGCCGTATCAGGCCGCAGAATCGAATACCACGCGCATCTTTCCTAGTCTTCTACGGTTGATTTCTGGGTGACGTGGAATGCACAATAATTGTTCCCACATGAGTTTAAAACATTCATTCGTTCCATATGAACCAGCCTCTTGTTTCACTGTATTGCTTATTTGCTTTGCCGACACAATTCTGCATTCAGAATAAGCCGCTTTTTCAAGTACTCCAAACCCTTTGCGGCTATCACGTAATTATTAGGCAAGCAGTCGTATCCT